GGCTGCTGAAATGGAGCAGGGAATGGGCCCAGAGCAGCTCCCTGGCAGATCTGCACATGGTGTTCATGAAATACAGCAAAGAATGGGCCCAGAGCAGCTCCCTGGCAGATCTGGAGCTGCTGTTCCTGACATGGAGCAGGGAATGGGCCCAGAGCAGCTCCCCAGCANCATCATCCAAGGGCTGTGGGGACACCAGAGCTCTGCTGCCACCCCCTCCATCCCTCCATCCCCAGCAGCCTTTGGGAAGGCTCTGTGTGGGCAGGGACTGTCCCAGGTGCTGCTCCCCTCTGTCGTCTCCCAGTGTCACCCTGGCTCCCCAGATGTGGAACACCAGCACCTTTCTGGCACTGCTGGTTTATTCATTGCCTCCTGAACCCAACCCGTGCCAGCCCAGCTGAGGGTGACTCCAGACATCCCCTGGGAGGCAGGGACAGCCCTGCAGTTGCTGATTTCAGAGTTTGCAGCTCCCACTGGTCCCAGGGCACGAGCACAGCTCCCACACCTGTGCTGCTGCTCGGGGCAATAACCACCCTGGCAGGATGCAGGGTGGATGTTGTGATTAATAATTTACCTCCGAGCCCGTATCCAGCCCTGCCTGCTGCAGGCTCACAAGGACCTGCCTCTGTGGGACCTGGAGGTGCCCAGATAAGCCTGGATAAACGGGGGGGACTTTGCCCTTCTCTGGTATCTTTAGTGCCCCTGTTCCTGCATTATTTACAAACAAGGCTTCACTGAGCCTTTGAAGTGTGTCTGCCTTGCAGGAAGTGCAGGGTGAACAGAGCTGAGCTGGGAATGGGGGCACTGAGTGACTCCAAACCCATGACAGCAATTTGGTGTGGAGCCTTTGCTGCCCATCCACGTGGCTCTGGAGCTCTGGGGCTCTCCTGTTTCCTCCTCCCTTGGTTTCCCTGTTTCCTCCTCCCTTGGTTTCCCTGTTTCCTCCTCCCTTGGTTTCCCTGCTGATGCTGCTCTTGGGGCATTCCCTGGGCACCCAGCTCCTCACACCATTTATAAATACAAATTAAAGCCAGCAGGGATCCCTCTGCCAGGCATGACCCTCAGCCCTGGGCACACCCCCAGGACATCGCCCATTGCCACATCTAAAAAAGGGCCCAGGAGGAAGAGAAAAAGGGGGAAAGAACTCAGGGACACACCTGGCACTGCTGCAGTGGGTGCCCAGACCCAGCCCTGTCCCCCTCTTTGGGTTCCCTGAGCCCAGTAGCCCCCAGACCCACCTGAGATGGGCAGAGCATGGTCCTGCTGCCCCCAGACCCACAGACCCACCTGAGATGAGCAGAGCGTGGTCCTGCTGCCCCGGGCTCTGCTCAGCCCCCAGCTCCTGCACCTGCAGCTCCTTTAGTGGCAGCAGCTCCTGGGGAAGGAGAGCAGGGGTTACCTGGGGCTCCATCCTGCAGCACGCTGAGGAACACCCGAATATCCCACAGGGTTCTTCTCTTTCCATTCCAAACCTCAGCAGAAGAGGTTTGTGTGCCCGGCTCCCCCAGCGTGGCCACAGAGCCCGGCTGGCCCAGGTGAGCCCTACCTGGTAGGTGAGGCCGTTGGGACCCGAGGACTGGAAGTACAGGTGGGACTGGAACAGTTCCAGAAAACAGCTGTGGACCTCCTGCAGCAGGGACACCTTGGGTTAGCTCAGGAAACCTCTGGAGTTATCTCAGGAAACCTCTGGAGTTATCTCAGGACACCTTTAGGATATCTCAGGACACCTCTGGGGTTATTCAGGACACCTTNTGTTTCACCCCTATAAAAAGAGCCGGGATATCTCTGGAGGAGCTTTGGGAAGAGCTTGGCAGAGCCGGGCTGGGCAGCGGCTCCCAGAGGGATGCAGGGCTCGCTGCCAAGCGCTCCCATGATCGCTCCCGGAGGATCAAACCCCTCTTGGGTTTCACTCCCAAGAAGCCCCAGCTCGGGGATGAGGTTTCTGCCGCCGCGGCTCCGTCCCTGGGGACAGCTGGGACAGGGACACGTCCCCATCCTGCGGCAGGGACGGGCAGGGGTCACTGAGGGAAGGGCAGCAGGGACAGGGGCTGAGCTCGGGAGGGTCAGGAGAGGGGACAGCAGGGAGGAGGAGGAGGTGGGCAGGTTTGGCCGTGCCAAGCAGCAGGGAAAGGCTCTGGGTATTGGATTTATTTCCCTTTGTGCCTCCCGTCCTAGAGAGGCAAAGGGAGACGTGGGGTGAGGGAAAGTGGGAAATGCAGTGGTTCAGTTCCCCCTGTCCCCAGGGCTCCCTCAGCACCCCTGGGCATTGCTCAGGTGGAGCTTCCTCCCCTCAGCAGCCTGGTGACAGCGCCAGGGAGGGATTGGGATCCACGGTGTTTGTGGGGTGACAGCAGAGAGGGGAGGTTCCTTTCCTGTGCTGAGAGGCTGGCAGGGCTGCAGGGATGGGCTGGAGGCCGTGGGCTGGCACAGAGACACCTGGGGCTGGGATTAGGGCTGGACAGGCTCTGCATGGCCTGGAGCAGCTGCACACCCACCGAGAGGGCTCCTGTGCAGGGGGAGAGCAGATGGAACGTGCTGGAAGCTCCTAATAAAGTTCTGTCTCATTTACTGCTCCTGTGTCCCTCCCTGTGCGTGTGGGGAGGCGTTAAGGGAGCGCTGGGCCTGCAGGGGGATAAATCAGTGTGTGTGTCTGTGTGTGGGGAGCCAGAGCTGCAGGGGCAGATGCTTTGCCAGGATCTTTTCTCCTGAGAAGCTGAGAGGCCTCAGGAACAAAATGCAAACAACGGTTATCTGCTGCTGTGGGATGCAACAGATGCATCTGGGATTGGTCTCATGTGGTTGTTTCTAATTAATGGCCAATCACAGCCCAGCAGGGGAATGAAAGGTCCTGCAGGTCCCGGGGGATTTGGGAGCCTCTGCCACAGCAGCCTCAAATTGTCATGCTTGGTTTATTCTCTGACCTTTCCAGCTCTCACAGCAAGGCCAGGCATGCCTGGGATCTCTGTCCAAAATACGGAGATTAAAGCTCACAAATTCAATACACCCGAGGATTTCCCCAAGACCAAAGCTGGATGGAGGGGACAGCCAGGAGCTCCCACCTCAGCCAGCCCAGCCCCAGCGACCTTGGTGCATCCTGCAGCCCTGGTGCCATCCCTGCCTGCACGTAGCCCCCTCAGCTGACACCCCGGCAGTGCCAGGCGCNTGGACCCAAGGTGGATCCAAAATGCACCCCAGATGGACACAAGATAGACCCAAAATGGATCCAAGATGGACCCAAGGTGGATCCAAGATGGACCCAAGAGAGAATCAAGGTGGATCCAAAATGGACAGTGTGTCACGAGTTTTCAGACTTTTATGTTTTGCTCCATGTCCATACTGGGGTTCATTGTCCAATTCCAGCTCCATGTTCTGCAGTCCCACCCTCCCAGTTTGCCCCCCTCAATTCCCTGTTTGCACTTTTTGGGCCTGGAGCTGCAGCTTGGTTCTGGGGCTGGAAAAGGATTGTTTTGTGTGCCTGAGCTGTGAGGAGAACTGCTGACACTTCACATGAAGCTCAGAGTCACACACCAATGCAGCACGGAATGTGGAAAACATGAAAGCTCAAACTTAAGGCATCAATGCAGGCTCTAGCCCTGGGTGATCCCTGTGGGAGCCACCACAGCTCAAGCACCCTGTGCTGACAGCGACCCTGACAGCTCTGACCAGGCCCTGACAGGGAAATGTCATCTGCTGCAAACAAAGAGGGGAAATTCAGGCTCAATATGGGGAAGGAATTCTCCCCTGTGAGCGTGGGGAGGCCCTGAATGGATTTCCCAGAGAAGCTGTGCCTGCCCCTGCATCCCAGGCCAGGCTGGATGGAGCTCAGAGCCCCCTGGGATGGTGAAAGGCATCCCTGCCTATGGAACCAGATGATTTTTACACTCCCTTCCAACCCGAACCATTCAGTGCTTCTAGGAAAACAAACGCTGCCTGCTCAAGGAACATTTATTCACGCAGAGATTTCCTCCCCCTGCTGCTGTTTGCATGCACAAGGCCTTTGTGCTGGCGCTGGGGGGGCGAGCAGGGATGACTGAGCAGCAGGAGGAAGGAGGGGGAGGCAGCACAAGCAGCTTGAACCCGTCCCGAGGCTGCCAGCTGCCCCCGCATCCCTGCGGCGAGAGGATCCCCTCGGCCCCCGCTCCTGCACGCCTCCAGCATCATCACCCTGAGAGCCCCAAAATAGCAAAGCAGCATCGTGGGCCTGCTCAGCCTGCTGCAGCCTGCCCTGCCTTTCTATGAGCAGTTATAGTGAGAGGATCCCCTCGGCCCCTGCTCCTGCACACCTCCAGCATCACCCTGCCAGCCCAAAATAGCAAAGCAGCATCGTGGGCCTGCTCAGCACGGCTGCAGCCCGCCCTGCCTTTCTATGAGCAGTCATAGTGAGAGGATCCCCTCGGCCCCCGCTCCTGCACACCTCCAGCATCACCCTGAGAGCCCCAAAATAGCAAAGCAGCATGGTGGGCCTGCTCAGCCTGCTGCAGCCTGCCCTGCCTTCTTATGGAGCAGTCATAGTGAGAGGATCCCCTCGGCCCCCGCTCCTGCACACCTCCAGCACCTCCCTGAGAGCCCCAAAATAGCAAAGCGGCATCGTGGGCCTGCTCAGCACGGCTGCAGCCCGCCCTGCCTTTCTGTGGAGCAGTTGTAGCACCTACGGAGGCCGGGGGAGGAGTGAAAGATGAATAAACATCNAAATACCAAACCCTCTGAGCCCAAAATCCTCGGGATTGCAGATCCTAATTCCTCCCACAGCCCAGCAGCAGCATCTCGGTGGGCACAGCCAGCTCAAGCCCTGGTTCTTTACGGCCACACAAAGTGCAGAGGATAAATCCCTGTGCAGAACATCCCTGCTGTGCCCCCCTGGCTGTCTCTGCAACCCCTCTGATCACGGCATGAGCGTGCTGAGCCAGCCACAAACCCCGACACCCCAATGTGCCTGTGCTTTGTGGCACAGCAAGGTGAGATCCCCGCTCCTGAGGCTCCACAGGGCTCAGCCCCTTCCTCACCTGCGGATGTTCATGGGGGCCACGCTCTCCCAGGTGTTGGATTTGGGGTTGTAGCGCTCCACGGAGTTAAGGCAGCTGGTGCCATCATTGCCCCCGGCCACGTAGAGCATCCCCTCGAGCACGGCCACACCTGCACTGCTCCTGCGGCTCAGCATGTTGGCAATGGGGCTCCAGGTGTTCATCTGGGGACAGGGAGCCCATCATTGCCACCCCACACAGCCCTGCCATGTTGGCAATGGGCTCCAGGTGTTCATCTGGGGACAGGGAACCCGTCATTGCCACCCCACAGGGCATCTCCCACTCATCCCTGCCAGGTCAGTCCTGCTCTGGCCACAGAGTCCTGCCATGAAAACCCTTTTGGGGGCATCACTTTGTTCCTCCCCGCTGTCCTGCAGTTGGCAGGAGCAATCTCACAGCCTGGCTCAGAAAGCACAGCAGCAGCTGGCAGGAGCCATCCCAGGAGCACAGAGATGCCCGTGCCAGGCCACCAGTTGTGCCCCAGCTGAATGCCAGCCCAGCCTCAGGGACTGAGCTGTATCTATTTCCAATCTGTGTGAGTGCAGCTGGGGCTTTGCAGCTCAGGAAAAGCCTCCAGGACCTTCCCTTTGATCTCTCTGCAGTGACCGACCCTGGTGGGCAGAGCTGTGTCCCCAGCCTGCCACACTCCCAGCCGAGCTGGGAACAGCTCAGGGCATGGACAGGACCCTGCTGCCCTCAGAACCACGGGCAGTGGGGCCAGGGGCTGTTCTGGTATCCAAACCTCACAGGGAGCTCTCACAGAGCAGCTTTGGGTCACTGTGCTGAGGAATCCACCCTGGCTGCTGTGTCCCTGCTGATCCCCCCCCATCCCCCAGCCATGCACGGCGGGTTGAGGCCTTTCTGAAGAGGGGAGGAGCACAAGAGTCACCCAAACCTCCCTCCCACACTTACCTGGGGCTCGTACTTCTCCACCGTGGCCAGGTGTGACGAGCTGTCGTAGCCCCCCACTGCATAGAGGTTGCCTTCTGCAAAGACAGAGCACAGGCACAAGCTAAAAACACATCCCTGACCCACTCACAGCGTCACAGGTGCCATCTGGGGGTGCCCACACAGGTCCAGGCTGAGCCTCAGCACAGGTGCCATCTGGGAGTGCCCACACAGGCTGAGCCCCAGCACAGGTGCCACTCTGGTTAAAATTAGGGAAGTTACATTTC